TATATGAATAAACTGACAAAAGATACCCGGATACGCATGCCTGACGAGCGGCAAGAACCGCGAAACCAGTCGAGTGCTTCCAGCGAAATTTCGTCCAGTCGTTCACATACTACTTATATATATATATATATATCACCATTATTGTGTTTGATGTACCTTGCCCATGGTCATTAAAATTGTATTCTACATCAAAAACTGAGTCAAATTTGCACCAGGTATACCCACTGGCTCAGTTGACGCGCGCGCGCGCCCACACACACACACACGCACTCAGGTGATGAACTCAAACAAATAAGTTACAGAGAATGCATTTGGGATAGATGTGCTAGCCGAGTCAGGGGATCAAGTGACCAGAGAGGAATGAGGAGAGCGTGCGAGAGAGAGAAATGCACAGAGAAACCGGAGGACACATGCAAACTACAATAATGGGGGAAACCGGGAGAGAAGTCAAGGCAAAGCGACTATGAGTATCAGCACAAGCATTAGCCTGGGAATGGACCGACCACGCAATTATTGATGACAGTACAAAAAAACATGAACCATATCGGAAAGAACAACAGTAGACAACACAGGTGGCGGCAATGTTATTCTTGAGTAGAGCGAGAGTATCATTTTGTGTGATGAAGAAAACCACTTTCGGAATGGGGGATGGGAGAAAAGCAAAAACGATAAACATCAGATAAAAGAATAAAACCAATAAATGTAGACAATAAAGCCCAGTAAAATGGGGGCAAAATAGATAGATTGAGTGAGTGGAGGGGGGGAGGGATCGGACCGGACAGGGGAGAGCAAGAGTAAAGGGAGCATACAGGGCCTAATTGTCTGGTAAAGTAACCGGTCAATCTGTCCGGCAGTCGGTCGGTAAGACGGCTGTAGTAATGGCAAGGATGAAGCAAGTAAGGATGAGAAAAGGAACATGATTGTCAGATTGAGAGAGCAACGATAGTTCGGATTTTCGATCAGACTAACCCGGTCGTACAACAAGCTGGTCCATGGCATCCGCGGACTCAATTTTGAAGATGGGTGTGCCGATCGGTATTGTCGCGGTTGCCGGCCCGATCGGAGTGGAAACACAGGTAACCGATTTCGGCTGGAGCAATCCGGCCACTGCAACCAAGGACTTGACTACGTCGACGGCTGTAGCGACCGAACTGTGCGAAACAATCGGAGTGCCATTGCTATTCGCGGTAGGGGTTGTAACAACAGCCACGGTGGACACTGCAGAGGTTAGATTAGTGACAGTTGAGGTTTGACTACTGCTCATATTTGTCACAGCTGTACTAATAGCTACGGGACTGGGAGCCAGAGCCTTTAGGACAGTGGGTTTTGCAGCGATCGGTGTGTCGCTAGCTCGGGATATGCCCAATTTGTGGATACGGTCACCCAGGACCAGTTGGACTTCTTCATTTGGATCTGAAACTCCACCGGTTCCTGTGACGGTGGTTTTACCCGGAAGCGGTTCGATTCGCCGATCCGGGACACACCAGACCCATTCTTCTCGGGTACTCAACGACCACGGACAGGACCGTGCTCGCATAAATTCGGGCAAAGAGACACGAAGTTCTTCATTCACATGTGAATAAGCCGTCTGGAGTGATAGAAGAAAATACGACAATACCACAGAGATGATGAAGAGAACTCAACTATAAATCAAGTGTATGGTTCATACAAAATACAAAGACAGAGTTTGTCCAATATTATCATCAGGAACGGTATTGCATTATGCAAGCAATGAACTACGAGCATGACTAAACATTTAGACTGACTACAATATGGGGTCAGTCAGTCACAATTTTACGAGTGTGCTCATGTTTGCATTGGGCATCGATGCAAGCACGAAAAAACCACTCAACGTCACATCGTTAGAGCACCGATTTTAAAATAAAACGTTTTTAACAGAATATCAGGAAAACTCCAATGATATTATGCGGGGGGACTTTTTCTTTCCATCCAGATAATGGTACTGCAATTTGTTTGGCATTCATGAATTGACTTAGCCCGGCATATGCTTGCACTCTAACTAGATTCAGTTTATACAACCACCAACTATACATTTTGTGCGGTGGCTTTCATGGTAGTCTCGTCACTAGCCAGGGAAGATTCGATTGTAGCAAGTAGTACTAATGTTATGCGGTACTACTCATAGTTGTGAGTGGTGTGGTTGAAGTGTGATGCGGTTGACAGTTTCTCACAACAGTCACAAATGAACAAGATTTCCTAGAGCGAATTACTGCGCTCAAAATTGTGACTACAGAAAAATGCGTATCTATTGCTGGACCGAACCATTAATTATCCCGCACACTTGTGGGAATTATGATGCCCTGTACTAAATGAGACATTTCGTTGTATATAAGCCAACTTATCGATACCATTAGCGTTGTTCGTAATGAACAAATCTCCTCGTCCGGAACTGTGAAAATGGAGAACAAAGGAAGAGAGGGGAGGGGGATAGGAAACCGAGATGCACAAGCGGCATGGTTTATCACACTCAGAACGTCACCAAACATCAGTTACACTAGTCCCGAGAATCAAAAGCAGTGACATGAATACAATGCGATCCGCGTATTGAAATCACGTGCCCCGGTATAGAGAACACAATCACACAAAACATCACAAAGTGCGCGGAGAAACAACAACAACAACAACAACAACAACAGCAAGAAAACCCATTCGTGTTCTTATTCTTCCACCTCTCCATAGTTCGTTTCTCCCCATCTATACTCAAATCCCGATTTTCTGTTCTCATTAGTGCGGCGTTGGTTCAGTTCAGTTCAGTTCAATTTGTATAACCATTAAGCATGCACTATCGTGCGGCGGTTTTGGTTGCTGTCTTTTGGCCGCCCATTTCGATGAACTTGGAGGAGGAAGAAAGGAGGGTTGAAGGTGAAGTCGAACAGAGAATTCCAGTGAACTGTGACTGCAAAGAAATCGAGAGGATGTACAAACACCACTGTTTACGACACTCAGCCATATCACTCAGTGTCTCTAACCATCGCTTACGATCATCCCGAGGTCTACAGCCAGAGAGAACGTGATTATTCTCGCTGGTAGTTAATTTACTCACCGGGAGATCGTGGAATGTGGCCCCACAGCCAGAACACTTGTGTACGCGAGGCTCTTTGCTTGACTCCTCCAGGGGACGATAGCGCACGTGTAATTCGATTGAGCGGAACAGGGCAGCTTCCACACGTTTCGCATCTTTGTAATGCACTCCGGAACGAATACGCATTCCGTCTGCGAACAACTGACCGACATGACGCTTCAGTGTGTCCGACAATCGAGCATAACGAGCCAGATCCTGTTCAATCTCGCTCTACGGGGCGTGCGAAATACAATGGAATAGAAAGGGAAAAAGGAAAAAACAGATTGGTATGGGTCCAATCATGGTGGAATAATCTCCGTATGATTGATTCACCGCGACTTCAAGGATTGAAATGTGAGATTCTCAACCTTGTTTGGAGGAATAAACCACATACAAAAAGGATCTCAATACGTAAATGGAAACGTGATCGGGAACAGTTAGTTTTCTACGACATAAACCTCTTCCTCGAAGCATTGTTGGATGCTTTCTCAGTGGTATATCATGATCGCAAGTTCTCAACTTTGAACCATTATCATCATCGTACAGCTGAATACAGTGAAATGTACTTCACTGACCGCTGCCAAACTCGCAATGCACACAGAGTTAGGGGTAATGTGTGAGGTGGGCATGGATTGGGCCTATTTTTAGGGGTGGAGGAGGAAATTGAACCTCTCTGATCAACACACCGAATGCACAATCTAACCGTGCACGTGTGCTATTTGAAGCACTCAGGCCTTGGCAACTTATCATCAGTTTGAGTGTGAGTCGTGTTCATGTCTCACTGGACCTTTCGGTTAATAGTGTCTGCATTTTCTTCTCTTTCAGGTTGCTAGTTTGCCCTCTCCATGGAGAACCTCCTGTCCGTGGACGGTTCCAGCCAACACCTAGACTCGGCCCACTTGCGGTTGTCTGGTGTATCCGTTCACCGGGGACATCCTGCCGCACACACGAGCCAAGCATCTCACAATAAGAAATGACAAGAACGCCACTGCTGTCGGTTCGTTGTCATATTCTTCAATGTGTCCTACCAACCAGTTGCAGTCTTTAGTTGGAGACATTGGTGTGGCAGCGAACCATTTGATTCCAGATTCGCTAGATGACTTGGTCCAGTTGTGTCATAAAAAGTGTGATGCGCGAGCCGGTTGTCAAACCAAGGATAATAAATTAAGCCGATTAACTTATGATAGTAGAGAAGCAGTAGCAGTTGTTTTACCCGATCAAACTTGCACGATCGTTAAAACTGATAACTTGGTGCTAACAGATAGCTAATTGGGATCCGAACCTTAGCAAAGTCCAGTTATCTAGCCAAGTCAACCATTGAAGTAGCCGTCACTCCAGAGACATGACTGTGTCACTTTGATTTCAAATTAATCGACCAATCGCGTTCACCTGGTAGCAGTCGCACAAAGTGATTGAGAATTTGGCCGTCACATTGTATCCAATGGACGGGATATATCACAACGCCCGTCCAGTCAGCATGGGGGATTTCCCGACACTCAAGCGTAAGTACATTCGGGGTGAGTGCGAATGAAGGTATCGATGTGGTACGGTGGGATCTGACAATTCATCCCACCGTTGGATCGGTCAATGTTGCATCTCCCCACCCATTCCCCGGGACCGACCAACAACGGCTACTTTTCACACGCGTTACTTTTGGAATTCGGTGCCTCACTGCTAACGAAATTTGCCATGGATAGTGCGGTTAGCTTTTGTCTTCGTCGAGTCCCGCCGGCATTAGATTGGGCACCAAAACTTCAATAAATCCGCTTTGTGACCCAAATGAAATTCCATAGATAGATGAATGGAATAAAATAATTCGAGATTGCACACGCTGAACAAAAAAATTTGAGATAGGCATCCACTATTCCCTGGAAGCACATGATTTGTTCTGCGGCTCTTGCCGTTCGTCAGGCATGCGTATCCGGTAGTATTTTTTCAGTTCTTTCATATAATTGTACCACAGAAGTGAATTTTTGTCACAATAACTTCATTTGCAACACCGGGTTAATTAGTTTGAAAGGCTTTTTCAGAACCGGTCCGTTGAAGAAGCAATACTATGATTCGATGTTTTGTATTTGGGTTAGGTGCTACTAACCGCAACAAAGGCGACGTGAGCGTCTTTACGGAATATTTCATAGTAACTAGTAGATAAAAAACTGAACAAAATGAGTTTATTGTGATATATATATATATATATATATATATATATACA